CTGGCCCTAGCCAGTGCAAGACTCGCAGAATCTACCACCGGATCGGTAACGCATCTGAGAAGATCCAGCGAGAAACTCAGTGGGCTGTGTCTATGGGTTAATTTATTCGTCGAGCCCTTCGTCGCAAGTCACGGGTTCGGCTAGGATGGTGACCAGTAAATCTATACATACAGGGGGTGAAAGGCTATTTAGTTTAAGCGACATTTTAGGAACTTTACCGGAGAGCCATTTAAAGTATAAAATTTGGAAAAAAAAACTTCTTCAGCTATTTGAATCGAGTAAACTTCATTCAATTTTAATTAAAAACATCAAACTTTGATGCTAATACCAAATAAAACGCACCTTTAATTACAAAGACAAAAAAGGGAACTAAGAGAAATGTCGCTTAAACCAAATAGTCTTTCCCCCCTCGCTATATAAACACAAAGACAAAGAGCAAGCAAACCTGTTCATCACACGAATGTTTGCCAGATGTGGGAATCGAACCTACGATCCTCGGCGCAACAGATCAAAGGCGCTAACTACTGCATCATCGAGTCAGTCATTATAGTTGTCTTCACTATTCATCATTCATCACTTCACTGGAGAGACTCATAGTGACGGGTAAAGTGGATGGAAGACGATCCGGAGGTCGGGGCCGAAAAAGATGGAGTGACCATGTGTCCGAGCATCTGGACACGAGACTGAGCCACTGACCGACATAAGTGGCTACAAATTACAAAAAAAGGTCACAGGCGGGCGCATCACGACGCTCAGCAATAAGCGATCGACTGAAGGAGGAGGAAGATTCATAAGTCCGTTCCCCAAACGAGGTAGGTGATAAATATAAATGCATTATTAGCGGTAATGGTGATTACGCATCTACTACCATACTGCTTATTTCTCTTCCGAAGAAACCATGGGTTCTGGTTTGAATGGTCGAACCTCCATTATACAATACAATGGAGGTTTCAAGCCCTTGTCTCGAGATGGGCGGTATTCGGGATGTAATGTCTGTATAGTCTGGTAATCAACACATAGTGGACTATGAACTTGCTCACTTATATGTGCAATAAAAAAAGAAACTAAAACGTCGGTTTTTTACTAGCATGAAAAAAAACAAGCACTTAGTGAATAATACTTGTATTTATTTGTATCTATTATATCTTAGAGGTTAACATTTACTTTCTTTAGCATCTAATAATATATTTTTAGATTGTAACGCAGCAATGGCAAGAGTGCGGTCGTGTTTTTCTTCGTTTAGTTGCAAATGAAGGTTTTTTACTTCCATCTTCAAAGTTTTCACATCGTGTTGCAGTCGCACGACAGCCGTCCACAAACTCGGCGGGGCCTGACTCGAGTTTGGTATCGGCAGTGACGGTGACCTCACTAACGCTTCAACCGATAACATATCGTCATCGCATTCTGTAAAAGGAAATGGTTAAGCAATCAAATCGCAATAACTTCAGACAGGCTCGGAAAAGTTGAACCATTAACCCACCTTCAGTTTTTTTTACGAGTGTAGATGGAGAGACAACGATCAGAGCTCACATTGGAGCCAAAAAAAAGTTGCCGCAACTTATAGATATGACTTCAATGCCGTAGCCCACCTCCAGACATGAAGTTGAAGTCTCAATTATATTGGTTCTTTCAACCTAGCTACCCTCGAAACCGCCATCTTAATCAGAACCTTATAGCTTCTCGGAATAAATAGGACTATGGAACCATTCCAGAATTAGAGAGATTCTTTTAACTTTATTATAACGTCTTATTCCTTCATCGGAATATCGTTCAAGAACATATTTGGGATTGTGCTACTCAAGAAAATTTAACCATGACATAATTGTTTGTATCGGGCGTCTTACGTATTAGCTATAGCGTATTTCTTACGCTTGATTTTTTACACAACCGTAATAAATATTATTAAAAAACAGTATAACACTCCCGCACGCTCATGCTTATTTTTTTTTTAATTTAACTACCTCCACCACCGTGTTTGAAAATTTTCGAACATAATTATGTATGTATTTCTAATGAGATAAAAAACTTGCATGACTATTAATTGACAAATAAAGTCAACATGTCTTAAACGACTTCGAAGAGAGCATCGACGTTTATCTCAAAAAATGTGTTTTATTTCAAATTTATTTATATTGTACAAATTCATTTTCTCTGTGTTAATTAATATTGCATTAATATTATGTGGATATAAGTGACATTACTTAAATATTTCCAAAACATTTATTCGAAAATATGAATAGCATTTACAACTTAGACATAATATAAATAAATACAAGTTCATAAACTATTATACATATCATTAATGATAAATAAGCAGCAATAGTACAATTATTTAAAATAATTTCGTATAAAGATTATATAATTTGAAAGAAAAAAATTTATTTTTTAAATTTAAACACATAGATTCCTCAGACATTAAATTTTATCCAATTCAAGTATGTGTCCAATTATTATAAAATATTTATTTTCATTATCTACCTATATATTAGTACAACTATTTAAAATAATATAGTATAAATATTATATAATTTGAAAGCAAAATTATTATTTTTTAAATTCAAGCGCATAGATTCCTCAGACATATATTAAATTTTATCAAATTCAGGTATATGTCAAATTATTATAAAATATTTATTTTAAATATCTACCTATATCGGAATTAGAAGAAAAAATCTATTAAATCAATAGACAACGGGTTATCTATTACTAATATGGTTATCGTTATAATATGGTTAAGAGGAACGATAATGTAAGCCAACATTAAAGTGTTAAACTTGTTAACAAAATTAAACAACACTAATATTTTTCCAAGGGTAACATTGAGAAACAAAGTGTGCGTCTCTCTGACTTGCGACATGCGCTCGCAACAACAGTAACTAATCGATATCTGCATCATGTCAATGATCTCGCGGGCCCTGGGAAAGACGGTGCTACTTATACCTCTATATATACCTATATACACAGCGAACAATTCTGACGGACTTTTGTACGTGTACTCAATAATGTAATAGTTATTTATTTTTGTTTAAATTTATAAACTTTTTAATACAAATCGAAAATGAACAATTTCGTTTCAAAAAAAAATTAAAGAAAGTTCGTTGAAAAATGTAAATTTTAACGCGAAATTTCTTTCGGACGCTAATGTCGTTCGTTACTGTTTCTGCTGATCGTTGAAGGAATTTTGTTTTTCGCTTCAATTAATCAGCGGCAGCATGCGCTGTACAATTTTTAACCTCCCTCCGATCCCTAATGGCTTCGGGTTTGGCGCATTACTGAATCTGTTTCAATGATTATTTCGCTTGCCAGCCCACTCAATTTATTGAGGTAAAAATCTGTGTTATTAGCGGGCTCGTGTTAACGTTAGATTTATCGGTGCGGTTACGACGTCATAAAGCTAACCTTCGTGGAAAAGGGTGACGATATTGCCCATGAACTAAACAACGCGTTTATTAATTTATCGCTAAACGGGAAAGTAGTCACAGTAAGTTGTATATCAAACATTTACAATCGTTCGTATTACTGCAATAGTTATGTACAATTTATTGCGAGAAGTTTGGCGGTAACAGCGTAATGAATTTTATTCAAATAATCTATACTTAGGCTGGCCAAAAATACTGTTACAATTAAAAATAAACAAAATATTACATTTGAATTTGGAATCTGTAATTTTTAAAACTGTAAACTAACACACTGTAAAAGTAATAAATGTTATTTGCCATAGATTTTTTTTTGTTTTCCTTTGTAACAGTATTTATGGCCAAACTAAGTATATATAAAAATGAATTGCTGTTCGTTAGTCTCGCTAAAACTCGAGAACGGCTGGACGGATTTGGCTAATTTTGGTCTTGAATTATTCGTGGAAGTTCAGGGAAGGTTTAAAAGGTGAGAAAATATAAAAAAAGCTCGGAATAATATAAAAACAAACAATTTTGTTTTTCCTTTGATGTGTCCCCTTGATGTGTCTTTTATTTATCGATTGAGGCACTACGAAGTCTGCCAGGTCAGCTTTAAGTTATAATTTTTTTTTGTGAAATTGACACCAATTTTTGCATGAGTTAATTCTGATATACATTTAATATGTATAAGTGAATGCATGCGCTCGCTACCGAGTTCAATATTAAATGAGGGGCGGGGCACGCGGCGGACGAGCGCTGCCCGCTGTGATTACGGGCCGTACGATCTAATAACCTGCTTCATTTGTCTCTATTAGTCTTGCGAATTTTACGTGATTTGCATGCTCGTTATTTTACATGCAGTCAGTCAGCTTGCATTTCACGTTAGCTTCCAGATTAATTATTTGTTGAAAGGTGAATTACTTTTTAAGATCTAAAAGTATCCAGAATAGTCCGTGCGTCCATGATGCGAACGCGAATCACGTTGCACGAAATATTAAATTGATAATTTCGTTCCGTAATTTAATATATTTTGCACGCCTCGGAAATTGTTACGAGTTTTTTTTTTTTAGAATCTAAATTGTACGTTGTTGAATTATATATGTATATGGGTAAAAGTTAAACTGTGAAAGTTTATGACGTGTGGACAGTCGTATTGTCACAAGTTACTCGAATTTATTTTGGACTGTTACAATATTTTAAAAGGTTCACAACAATCGAAATAGAGCCATAAAAGCACTTTTTCTCTTTCAAAATTATCACAACATATTTCAATATTATAAAATTATGCAATATTTGAATGATTTAAAAACAAAATTAAATATTTGGCAGACACAACGTTGGTGATAATAAAATTCCATTAGAGATAATAAAATTGAACTAAAATAATTTTAATCGATATTCTAAGTTTAGATTACAAAGTCAGACGTAGTTTAACGGAAAAGACAACTGATATAATTCATTCTTTGAAATTTTACGTTCAGGTTGACAGATCTCATTACATCTCGATCAGTCATATTTCTTAGGAGTTTGTTATTTCATGACAGGATTCGTTTACCCCTTTCAAATCTTCTTTATGTTATTCTTTGATGTTTTTTTTAGATCATATTAGTGTGTAGAACCTGACAAGAGCCCAGTCATGTCATTTTTGATATGACTGCGGGTTGAAAAGCTTTTTAGCTAAACTACGTTCCTTTATAGCTTGGTAAAAAGAATACGTCTGTAAAATAAATAAATAAAAGTTCCTTTACATAAACTATGTCGTATGTACCTTTCAAATAATAAAACGAGAAATAATCAGGAAGAATAATTCTCATTTGAAAAGCACTGTTACAAATAGCATTTCCTAAGCGGAAATCTTACTCATTTCTAAATGAGGACAGTGAACGTTCACAATAAAATAATAATAGTTTTTTTTATTAGTTTTCAAATAAATAATATTAAATAATTTTAAGAAAGCAGTAAAAGTTACACCGATCACTGACCAGTTTATCTATAAAATCGATACCATATCACAATTAATCCCAAAAAAAGCAATTTAAGCAGCATTTTATAAAATTCATATTATTTGTATGAAAACAATATATCTATAATAATAATATACAGGTTAAATTATTATTCTAATAAATAACTAAGTAGATAATACTGCAGACATGCATATAATCTATGATAGTAAATCTATGTTGACATAGATAACGATATGTACAAAAAAATATTAAACAGAATGTAAAGGAACCGCTTCCGAATCCAATAAAGCTTGAAATACGAACAAACCTGCAGCATGACAAAACCAAATACCATTTTACTAGGGCATGCGTGAATACTTATCATTTCAGTAATTTCATATTCTTTAAATAGTAACGAACGAGTACATTGCATTGGGTACACAACCTTATTACCATTGTGGTAAGGTCTGATTGTGGAGTCAGTCTCGGCTGTTCAACATAAAATGGGCCCGTCGAAAAGGCCAGTCTCGATTTTCGGCAATTGTTTAAATTCTGTTTGCAATCTCTTTGGATATTTATAAACACCAAAGCTAAACTTCCAATATCTAAGAGTTGACAGAACGTTATGGCAGGTAATTGATTCATTAGAAATACGAAGACAGTAATTGAAGGGATTTTTTGGTAGTTGACAAATGAGAAGCCGATGGTTTTAAGTAATAATATTCTGTTGTGGAACCGATTTGCGATAGTAGGGAGTAGTAGACTATCCCGAATGGAGATATGAACTTACAAGGTACCCCACCCGTTGCCCAAATTACGTGAAATGACTGATAGGGAGTATGCGACAGACAGGGCCAGTCATTATAGCGCACTATGGGACTAGCCTCTTTTGACCAGTAGAGAGACAGACAAATGATGATGATGGGCATATTTGTATTTATTGAAGTTTTTTCTTGATGTCCAGTATCCGGTTGTATCGGCCAAGATAACCAGATTTGATCAGACCTTACCCATCAAGCAACGGGCGCCACTTGGCATACGCCTCCTTGTCTCGTTCAAGGTCTTGAGGTCAATGCTTCGATTGAGTTTGAATTATGTTACAATGCCAAAATTTCAAATTACCAAAAAATTCGCAAACTTATCGTTAACAATTTTTTTAGTGTTATCGTGTCAATAATCACCAGCCTATTATTGTTTTCCGAAGCTGTTCCAATGCATCCTGTATTTTACGTAGTAAGCTTGAATTGGAAAGCACTCACATTTCACTATGTTAAATTAGTTTCAAAGTATAAACTACTTTCACACAATACGTTTACTATATAAAACTAAGTAGGAAAAAGAAAACATGAAAATTAAGGTAGGTTAGCCTCGATCAGGAATGAGGAGAGATTAGTAAAATATAAATCGCAAGTGAATTGAAACACCACTATCCAGGCGTTAATATAAACCAGAAAACAATTAGCAAAAGAAGCGACGATAAATCCCAATCGACCAGACAGTAAATGACATTTATATGACAGGTGCAGTCGGATAAAACTGAGTCGCGTGCACTGTGAGTTTTCTGAGGTCGAGCATCACCCAACGGATGCTCTACTTGTGTCAATCGAAATGGTGAGATTTAGTGAGATGTTTGACGAAAGTGCCGCAGCACCAGGTGGAGGAGCGCGGGGCGGCGAGGCTGGGCTGGGAGCCGCACGCCGGGACACTGGGCCGCTCGTCCCAATGCTGACGCAGGTTGGGATTAGACCGGTTCATGTCATACTTTCGGTCGCACAACAACAGTCTTCTAGCTTCCGGTCCTCGGTACAAGTACGCGTCCGCAGCGGAAGAGCTTTTGTTTCGTTTCACTTTGGTGGGTTTCGTACATTCCGGACGGTCAGGCGTTTTGCTTCGTTGTACGGGCGACATTTTAGTGTAGTTAAACTGGTCTATGTTAGTAGCGGGTGCGTGATACTGTACTTTACCGAGAGATAAGTGGCCGCAATCCACTGCAGGTGCGAAATAAGGCAGCCGCATGTAACAAAATACAAATATTCAGGACTGAAAAGTCAGATGCCAGTGTCGTGTAGTAAACGGGTCGTTGGCCAGCTAGTGCTTTAAGTTCTTTAATAAAGCAGATTCGAAGTCGATTTAGCACAATAAAAATGTTAGTAACGATATAATACATCTGACACATTTTGTTTTTGTAGACGACATTCTTCTCGCGTGTTGTATAGCTGTCACATTTGATATAAACAGTAAAGTGTAGAGAAACTGTACTTTTTAGATTGTATTCCCAGCCACCAAAACGCCATACTAAACAAAAACTCTAAATTACGACTACCTACATTAAAACCGGATCCATAAAATATGAAATCAAAACAGTACACGTTATATTCTAAGTTACAAGGACTAGACTTTTGTACAAGATCTAAATAGTAAGATTATGCTGAATGCTAGATTACATGTTACATAATAATAGTGAAAGCATTCTAAGATAACATGCATTTAAGACATGTGCCTGTATATGTTTGAGTATTATAATGAGATTATTGAATTTGGTGCTCGTTGTTAGGACAGAGCAAACATTGATAATATAAAATTTCAAGCGCTACATTTATGACTAGCAACAAATTTGGTTTGAGATGTAAAATGCGGATCTCTCATTCTAAGAACCAACTGATAATACGGTTTCTTGACTTCACATGTGTCCTCCTTGTCGACTCGAATACCTCCAGCGGTATATTGGGTACTGTGTAATAAACGCTTGCGTTAGTTGAGACAGACGGGCTCGTTCTGTCGCGTCTGTGGCGTTTCGTTTTACGACTAGAATTGCATTTACATCGTCAAATTCAATATATTTTCCATTACTAGAATTTGTCGAAGTTCTATTGCGGAGATCAAAATGTACTTATGCCACGACGTCGCAAATTACGTGTAATATCAGCGAATATTTACGCACGTCTTAAGTTTTTTTTTTTTTTTTTTAATAAATATTCTCACTACTCTTAAAACGTTTTGAAACACTCACCGGAGCTTACGGCATTTCTGCACCGAGCCGAAGTACAATAAGCTTCGATGACTTTGAGGATGAGGGCGTCTTCTTCGTAAGAATTGGATTTCCGTTGATGCGGCGCGTAGGGGTGGGTCGGCCCGATGTTCTCGTCCGATCCCACCGAGAAGGATTGGGGCCGGAGCGGTGGTGCAGGCCGTAAACAAGTTATGCTCCAACCTAAAATATAGCATCTCGGTCATCTAATTATTGACGACCTTGACTAAACTACGAACAATTCAGTTGGCGTTCTATTTCCGATTGAATTTTGTGTATTTACTAAAAAAAAATATGACTTTTCCAGGTTACTTATTAGCATGTACTCATAAACTTCCAACGATGACATATATTATATAATAAAGTGAGACATCCAAAACTGCGTATTTACTGTTGATTTTTTTTCCTACCTAATCTGATAGCCTTGTAGGCTATAGGCGTAACCGGGGATGTTGCTAACACTGGCCTTAGCAAGAGCAATGCTTCGCAGAATCTACCGCTGGATCGGAAACGCGACCCACTGAGAAGATCCAGCGAGAAATTCAGTTGGCTAAATAACTACTGTTGATACGGCTTAACCCTAGACAGTTAACAATCGCGTCTATATCCGACCCGGATCAGGTTTGACTCACCCTTTAAATAGTCGTTTTCCTTTACAATTTACACTTCGACTTCAAATCACAGGGAGGGGCATTCGCATTGTGATTTTTATAGAATTCGGTAACCATTTAACATCAGGGTGCTGTGAGTTTTTTCACTTATCTATGCAATAAAAATAATAAAAAAATGCTCAAGGCGTCTTATTAATAGGATGGTTTGTTAAAATAACCTATAGAGACAGCGCTCAGAGATTCTCGCCAGATCTTCAGTGGGTCGCGATTCCGATCCGGTGGTAGATTCTGCGAGGCTAGTGTTGGCAAAATTTCTCAGGTTGAGCCCCTGAGCTCCGCCCCTTAGACTACCAGCGAATAAACCGTACCATACCAGGGAAAAAACAAATTCTCTATTTGGGCAATCTAATCTAACCTTTATTAGTGTAAGTCGAATCCGTGGTGTCGATGAAGTCAACAGAGGAGAATTTCTTTGCGATGGAACCGTTATCAGATTTGGCGGGTGACTGGTCGAGGGAGTCGAAAGAGTTGAGCAGCCAACGCGCTGATTGATTTTTTTGTTTGTTTTTCTGCGTTTGCTGAGCGTGTTGTGTGTAGCTTTGATGATTGTTGAATGAGTGTGATCGTTTGTGGCTCGTTAAACCACCAGATAAATCAGAGTTATTATTCTCGCTCGTGGCCATCTGTAAAGAAAATTACTGTCATTACATTCTTAGTCGAGTATATTGTATTGAGCGGCAGAATATTCAGACATTAAACATCCAGTATCGTTTTTGTCCGTTTCTGTATTTTTATCTCGTAAACAAACACAGAATTGAAATTTGAACAGCATTTGAATAACAATGTATTATCATCGATAAAAATTTAAGATTTAAGACATTTAAAATAAGTGAAAAAATCAAATTTGATTTATATATCTCTTTGGTTTTTATCTCCAATTCATGGGAAGTACAAGGTATGCAAGCCTTTCCATGCATCACGTATCGGATTTTGTTGTTAGTACAATTAAACATATGATATCTACTTGCAGTGATCTCTTTTTAGTTAGTAATATGAATAAACACAGGCAAGGATGATCAAGTAAAGCACTCCATCGATGGGGTAACTCTAATAACAGCATTAATCTAATGGTTGCAAACTTCAAGGCAATATTATCTTCAAACCAGTGATACACAAACAGTATCTCTTTACAAAAGAATAATCCTTGCCTGAGTCGGTGACCACGGTTATCGGTAATTTTGCCTTCATCCACCAGTGAGCGTACAAATCTGAACGATACACCACGAAACCGCTCTGCCCTTCAGCTAAGCCCTTCTGCAATTTCGACAGATCTTCGCTGCGAGACCTTGTTTTTCGCACTTGTTCGAAATCGGCATTGCTATCTTGTTTCTTATCGTTGCAAAATATGTCGCGATTCCGCGGTGTGTTGACACGCGATTTTCTATCGTTAACGTTTTCTGAAGTATCTTTGTATATACGCATGTGATAGTGAAGACTAGGCTTAGAACGCTCGGTAATATTCAAGGTACCCCATTGGCAAGGTAAGTGTTGCCGAACATTCTTAGGGACCTCCAAATGAGTGCTAGGCTTTCGGTATACTCTCGGCGGCGGCTCCGGTTTCAGTTTAATCTCTGGTACATAACGTTCAATGTTCCTCCTTATAGACGTTCTTTTGATTTGTGAAGTCGGTACGGGAGGTGTGGCGGCAAACGTTGACTTTAGATGGGTATTCGATGTATCAGTTACGTCTAAGCTGTTCTCCGAAGTCACACTCGTAACGCAAGAGGTTCTAGCCGTGGAACCGAACGGAGATGTACACCGACATTGATCTTCAAAAGTAGCGGCCTCTATATCTGACAGTGTCAGTTTCCTTCGGAGACCTCTTGTGTCACGAGCCTCTTCTGGTGTTCTCATGTTATTCCGATCAGGTATCTTTTCGTTATGATCGGAATCATTTCCTGTATTGCCTGAGCTGGCATAATCGTGCATGTCTGGTGATGTTAGGGTGCAACTACCCACAACACCTGAATCTGAGGATCTTGGACTAGGACACAAGGATCTATTACAGCACTCACACTTCTTGTGGATTTTATCATTATCTGATTGCGAACTCATTCTCTGTACCCGATTTCCGTCATCTTTATTACTGTTACTTTCTGTCTCCACCATAGATCTTGACATAGAACGTCGGATTTTTTTATCAGAATTTAGCGAATGTTTCCGAAATGGAACATTTGTGTTCAGATTTACGTTAATAACTTTCATATCATCTTCATTTCGAAACATTGGAGGAGGATCTATTATGAGTGAATCAATGTCATGGCTGCATCGCTTTGGTGAGGGCGGATCTAAAACTTGTAATAAGTTGGATGTTAAGGATCCACCGCTGTCTCTAGTAGTGTAGTTCTCTTCTGTCGATTTCCATTGTTTTGGCAACGTGTCGACCTTTACGCTGCAGTTTGGATAGCTTCGCCTTGTTGGTAAAAAATCTTTGTCATCGTTTCCTAGCATCTCTATTTGTGTATTTTGATCCATATTCACTAAATCTTCACAAGCCATGTAAGGTCGAGCTTCGAAGCTTGAATTTTCAATTCTTTCGGAATGTGGTTCATATTCTTGTAAATCAGGAAACCCTCCAAATACATTTTGTGCATTAACTATATCATAATCCAGGTTTCGATCACTTTCACTGTTCATTTCATTAAAACCATACATCGCTTGAAACAAATCTTTGGTGCAATCTCCCTTTAATGTCAAATTCGATAGATTTTGTGATTCATCTAAATGCATATCTGAATTGTTATCGAAATACCGCACGTAGCCCATATTACTGCCCCAACTACTGTACGAAGAGGAGATTGTTCTGGGACTGTCCATGGCGTCCTGCCTCAGTACCTTCAAACAGCCTGCTGCTTCGGCATCCGTACAATTCGAGCTAGTGTTGCCTTCTCTGTCGCTATCGTCGCTATCCGAATATTCTGTTTCAGTTCCGATGGTGCCGTCGTTTTCAATTTTTAGCCTAATTTGATTTTTGTGTCTCCTCCTAATAGGCAAGCCTGACAATTCGAACGCTTTCGCCCATGTTCTTTCGTGCAATAGTTTACGCAACATTTGTTTTGTTATAACTTTTTTCTTAACAAGTCTCGCAAAATATTTCGTTAATGAATAATATGGAGATGCAGAAGGGTAGCTGGGAGGTGGTAGCGTCACGTGATAAAGACTTCGGCGGCTAGAGTTGATACTAGACAACGCTCCTTCAGAAGGAGAGCGGGTCAGCTAGTAACAATATCACAAAATAAGTATATATATTTTTCAAGAGGAAAGAGAATGTACTATAATTGTTTTTAATGTCTATTATCTTACGATTAAATTAAAAATACAAAATCAACATCAATAGTGAAATTAACGCGTCGACGGTGCAGCAACCCTGACAGCTGTATCACGGGGTCTGCGTTCGATGCTCGGATATAGTCAATTTTTTTGTCGAAAATATTTGAATATAGAGTGTGACTGTACTTATGTACGTCTCGGAAATATGGTTTCGGCACCCATAGTAGAGAAGAAAATGGAAGTGATGCCATTGCATGTGTTTTAAAAAATTACTTGTACTATACTGTGGAAATTGTGGAATTGTAACTTACATGAGGTAATGACTGCGGTTGTCCAGGCTCGTGTGTTGGACTGTTCGTGTTAGAATGCTTTTGTAACAAACTGACCCAATTGTCAGCCTCAGCTTTTGTTTGGCACACTGCCACTATAGTGTCTATCATGGGACCACTAATTTCAAATGCATTTTTTCTTGTTTCAGTATCATCTAATTTACACACTGTGATGCCTGTCAGTGGAAGACATCCCTAAAAAAGTTTACATTTCACGTCAATTTAACAATTTCTTTATTTGTAAGCAGCAGAAAACATAACAGGCATCAGAAAACACTCTTCTCTTTCAAATCTTTAAAATTAGACCATCCGGTTGTCATAATTAAAATGATTTACGACTTTGAACTCTGTAGTTAAAGCTATTAACTAAATATTACCTCATACACAAATGCAGATACTCTTTTGCTAACTGAAAGTAATAACAGCGCTGATGGGAAGAGTACAAGGTAGCGGTCCTGATGCGACGGGCCCACTGCCACGCTGCCCATATGTAACACGTCACCCAACGAGGCTAGTTCACCCCCGGGCCAGCCACGAACTTCTCCGGTTATAACTTGTAATTCTAACTCCTTTTGACGTCGTAATGCCGCACAAGCACTCTGAATCATAGGTAAAAAATAAAATAATCCAGCTGTATTAGGTAATTTGCTTATACAATGGTTTGTAATTGAAGAGATCTTAAAGCCTCTTTTTGCCTGCACCCTTACAACAATGTTGGGGCTGACAAGTCTACTTTTTTATAGACTCCTAAAACACTTTATCTGCCATACAATTGTAGTGTACTCAGCTTGTACATACATTGGTGCACATAATACTTAAAATTTCTTTATATTAATTTTACCGCAATATCTTTGTAGACAACAGATGCACGATGAGTATCGCCCCGGTCAGGGTGGGCTTCGTGGACATGTCTTGCCAATTCTTGTAGCATAGCTGGATATTTGCCGAGACGTCTAAAGGGCTTTGAAAGACCAGCTGTTAAAACAAGGACCCCTGGACACACTGCACCTGCATTTTCCATCCACGTGTTTAAGTCCTCCCTAAAATAATATTAACCAATTTACCATTGTTTTTTGCATTACACTTGTCATAGCCCAATTGATACATGGGGCAAATATAGTTAATTTGTGAGAATTTACTAATTTTTAAGAAATTGCAGAAACAGCAAAGAAAAATAGAAGCTAACATAATTAATAAAGACAGAATATTAGTAAAACGATCCAAAGTACCCATGTGTTGTTTTGACTCAACTTTTTGGGTTGATGAGTTTAGATTATATTAAGGGCATTCAAATAACGTACTTATACTTATCAAGGATACACACTGCCTTTGGATGTCCACCACAGTAAGTTTGGTGTACTGTTTTAATTTTTGGTGCCCACTGTAAAAACAATCCTCCTACTCTCTGATCTGGACCTGTTTTGGTTGCACTTTCTTCTAACAGCCCTAAGAACTGTTCATGAATCTGCAAGACCTCATTTATATTGCCGGTCAATTGCTTGAATTCATCTTTAGTTAGCCTGCAATCAAAAGAGAATTAAATGTATATCTTATGCTATGTAAGCTTATGAAGATTAAGCTCTATGAACTGCCAAGCAAGAAACTGTCAAATTCAAAATGCAGCCTTCAGCATGCTCGCCAGAATCTTGCAACAAACATCCAGTCATTGGATAATATTTAAGGGCACTCTGATGAACAAATTGTATCTAATATTAACCAAGTATTCATCCCCAAGCATGTCCCCAGTCAAAAGATACAAATCAACATCAGTTAAGGTAGTCACAATACAAAGCGGTCTACTTTTCATATTGTTCAAAGTGAACCAATTAATTTTTAACAATATCTTACTTCAGTGTACAGAAAAAAACAGTACAGTTTGATAAATATGAAGCTATCAACTAAAAATAGCTGTTACCGTATGGCAGACTTCATTTCATGACTCTGTTCCTAATGGTTTGCCATCTGTGCTTTATTATCTTGTTTTAAATTTAATGAAATATGACTCAATAAAACCACACAAAGTCTGGAAAATTTGTTTTTTTTTCAATTGTTCCTGTTACTTTTTAACATGTATGGTAGTCAGAAGGCTGCATGTTTATATTAGATTGAGGTCACTAATGTGTAACAGTTATAATTTTCAAGAGGTCTAGGATACCTCCATGACAAATAAAGAGTATACAATTTTGTTGACTGTACATAATTTTAACACCAGCATAGTCACATCAATCAATACAAGAGTACCAAGCATCGTATCTTTAAGGCCTCTATAATTTCAAAATTCTCCATCATTGTGTATTAACTATAATACTATTCTGATAACCCAACAATCCAAATTATTTAAATGCAAATAGCAGTACATAGACATTTATTTCACTCTTATTTATTTGTCTTTTTTTAATTAACAACGATAAATATAAAATGGTGTACATATTTACATTTCACTTTTTTCCAGAGGATGTAAGAAGTTGGTGACAAGACCCTGCATTTCTGCAACATGGGCCTTTTCAGAATCTATTATGTCTTTCAGCACCACATTTCGGAATGCCTGTATCTCAGACACAGCTCGTATAGGTGATGTTGTCACTGAACCTGATGTATCTGTTTAATTTAATTAAAGACATTTACATTCATAAGAAAGTTATATGTTTATTGTTCCCATACAAATAATTTCCTAATACTAGAGATCCAAAATTATAGTTTATTAATAAAATATACTTATAATAATATTAAAATACATTTAAATTACTATGAGTGAGCAGAATTTTTCAAGTATTAAATATTTTTTAATGAAAATGTGATTAAAAACTATCAAATTGTTTTATAATTGTATTGTGGCTTTGAAGCATAAGATGTACAATTATATGACAAACGTTAATGATCTAATAATTAGAAAGATGCAGAATTACCTTTATATTCAGTAACATAGTTGCTTGGGAACCAGCCTGTAGTTTCACCCAGAGTGCCTTCCCACCATCCTCCTTCTTCCTTTTGCGTGACAGTAATAATATCGCCTTTTTTGAAACATAATTCATCATTGTTTTTACCTTTAAAAGAGTATATTGCCTTAACCAAGCAATTTTCTGCTGACATTTTACCAAAATTTTAGCACCATTTGTAGTCTAAAAAAAAAGTTTTTTGTTACTTATTAGCTATTTAACATAAAGAAAACATCCAAAAATGTTCATTTTAAATAAAAATGTATTATAAACTACTATGAGTACATGACAAATAGTAATTGTCGTCTTCCGGAATGGTTTATTTTATAATTCAAAGTAGCTGTCATTTCCATTACTATTCAGTATGCCTCAAGGATTTACATTACTGAAAATATGTGAAAAATTAAAGCAAAATTACTTACTTTTCGTATTTAGTACATAAAAATTACATTCTGCATGAATGACTAAAAAATACAAGTCGAAAAACACTGCACAGAGTACCGTACATTACAATTGAACTATGAATTTCTCTGTACCGTTTTTGGGGTGATTAGGAATTGAGAGGCGAATGGGGAAAAAACCAGGAAAATCTTTCGACGCTCAATATTAGTTTTATATTCGTTGTAAAATCTTCCATTTTGTGTAGTTTAATAGTAGAATGTTGAAAGTTCACAAAACAACTCTGAATATGCATGATAATAGCTGCTAAGTTATAAAAAATCGCATTTCAAGTGAACTTATTGTGGTGGTAATTATTTTAGTGCAGGAAAATTTGCTCTCTTTTATTTATTTGATAATAATGTAATAAGTGTGTACATTTGGCTTACCAAAAATGATTATATCCGATAATGGACCTCAATTTACATCTTATGAATTTAAAGAATATTGCACAAAACAGTCTATTTTACATGTCACATCATCTCCATCCCATCCTCGTCGCCAATATAATAATTGATAGGTGGTAAAAATGACAATGTGTTCGAAGTATATTTCAAAATAATGGAATATAGTAAAGAAGGTTACAACATTCCTCCCCATCTACATCTCATTGATCAGACGGCGGGGTGCCTGTATACGTCGATTACTTCGACGCGGAGCAAATGGCACAGGAGTGGAGACCGGAGCAGGTGAGGAGTATAACTGCGAATGCTGTGAAGGTGAATTTGGAGAAATTTGTACATTTGTAGGCGACTGCGGTGTAGGTAATGGTACTGCTGCCGAATTCTTGTTTTTAGTTAGCCTTTCGCTAATTGTTGTTTCCATTCCAATGTCTGGAGAAGCAGTCGCCGCCAGCATAGAAGAATGCGCCCTTTCATTCCTCGGGGTTTCTGAGGTGGAGGACTCGCGTGGCCTGATGTGATCAGCATGTCTTCGTTTTTCTAGTCCTCCTGGTGTTGAAACAATATATGAATATTTATGTTTTCGGGATGTAATTACCGCTGGTTCCCATATTTTATCATTGCGTGTTTTAATATATACTTGGTCACTTGGTCGGTAACTCGGTGATGTGGTACGAATATTTTCTTTTACTTGTAAATACTGCATTAATCTTCTTTTGTCTGGCCGAATGTTGGAAAGTATGCAATTCAATTGTCTTCCAAACATCATCTCAGCTGGAGATTTACCAGTGGACGAGTGCGGAGTGTTTCTGTATGTAAACAAAAATTCTAATAGTCGGCGCTCGAGATTTGTGTTGTCTACCGATGCCATTCTATTTTTGAATGTTCTGACTAAACGTTCTGCCAGCCCATTTGTCCGAGGATGATATGGAGATGATGTGACATGTAAAATAGACTGTTTTGTGCAATATTCTTTAAATTCATAAGATGTAAATTGAGGTCCATTATCGGATATAATCATTTTTGGTAAGCCAAATGTACAAAATATGTTATCTAATGTAAGACAAAGTGATCTGGTGTTGATGTGTTTCATCGGTCGTATTTCCACCCATTTGGAGAGAGCGTCGCACAATACCNAACTACAACGTAAATGCGCCACACACCTTGAGATATAAGTTCTAAGTTCTCAGTAAAGTTACAACAGCTGCCCCACCCTTTAAAGCGAAACGCATTACTGCTTCACGGCAGAAATAGGCGGGGCGGTGGTACCTACCCGTGCGGACTCACAAGAGGTCCTACCACCAGTAATTACGCAAATTATAATTTTGCGGGTTTGATTTTTATTACACGATGTTATTCCGTCACCGTGGAAGTCAATCGTGAGCATTTGTTAAGTACGTATTTCATTAGAAAAATTGGTACCCGCTTGCGGGATTAGTATTATATTGGTTGCAAAATCTTCCATTTTTTGTAGTTTAATAGTAGAATGTTGAAAGTTCACAAAACAACTCTGAATATGCATGATAATAGCTGCTAACTTATAAAAAATCGCGTTTCAAATTAACTTCCTGTGATGGTAATTATTTTAGTGCTAGAAACTTTGCTATCTTTTATTTATTTGATAATAATAGAAGACGATTGTGATTTATAAACGTTATTTAATGTTTGAACCATCATATATATTAAAGGTAAGTCTCAATTGTTATTGGTTTTAATGTATTTGATAAAATAAAAATACATGTAAAAATCTGTTGTTTTTGGGGATATTGGGGACGTCTTAGGTACAAATAACAACGAAAAAGGGGTCAATTGGGATGAGAAAAAGTGAATTGGAAACGACCTAAGTATAAATAGGTACAGGTTTGTAGGGTTGTCTATATAGTTATAACAATATATTTTAAATTTGTTGGTAAAAATCTGGTTTATTCATGATGTTTTTGTCTAGAACTTTTATTCAAAATTATCAATGTGTTATTTTATTTTTTGGTAAATATTTATATTATCAGTTACGTATTGTTTTCTATTTTTAGATATGCCTCGCGTGTACGTATCAAAGAGTGCAAAGCCTTATAAGAGATATGATCCCTTAATATTAAAAACAGCAATAGAGCCTATTAAATTGGGATTAAGTCTTTAGTTGAAATAGTTAAGCAATTTAATATTGGTAAGTCGATTTTGCACAGACTAGTAACAAGAACAATGAAATCTCAAGGTGGACAAAAATGTCTAAGTAATACATAATAAAATATTTAAAATTTGTTCCGAGTGGGGGTATTCATCTGATTAATCTATGGAATAACCGACACACCTAATCTCTTAACCCCTGATAAAAATATCAGCCCCTAAGTACTTACCAAGAACGAAGAAATATAAACCGTTTATAAGAAAGCCCGGCCCGTTCGAATTTAGGTGCTTACTCTCCCGTATACAGAATCCTTTGGGACTACAATAATGTCCACGGTAGCGTGATCTCCGTCAATGTTCATTCGGAGTTGTCCGATTGCGCTGAACTAATTTTAAGTGATGAAATAGATGTTTTTTTTAATTGTCTCACAACTTACAGGACAAATCTGTCGCGGATCATTTCCCAAGTAAATATAAATTAATCATAAGTAAATAAATGTAATCAAGGTTTAGTTATATATATGTATATTTTTTTGTTGTTGTTAATGCACTGTCGATTGCACCTATAATTGAGGTGACATCTGCCATGTACTTTTGTCAGTTTTTCAATGTTATTTATTGATGATCACTTTGTTGGTGCAACTAAATAAATAAATAAATAAAAACCAAGTAGTGCCAACCCTAGCAAATTTCTCATTTCGTCTCCATTAACCGCAGATTCCGGGTAAATAGGGATTACACCTATTTTTACTTTTTAGTTGCATAGTTTTAAATTGGACAACAAAGATGCCCCCAAGACTCAATCATTTTGATCCTGATATAGCATTATATACAATATACATCAACAACTACCTTAAAATTGGTCATAAAGTTGGAATTTGTCCCTAATCGCCCCATTTTATCGGTACATAGTTTTTTTAATGAGAGTAGTCATAAAACCTTTCGTATGGCCAGTTATAAAAAAAAAAACAAAAAAAGAAAAAGAACAAAAAAAAGAAGACTATCGCCCACCGCGCTGCATGTATTGTACACGCACACGTCGCTTGTTATTTCATATCAATATTTTTATGGACTTTTACTACTTTTCTATTAAGAACTCTTATGGACGATCATACTCGTTAATGCGCGAGTGGTATAGCTGTTTTGTGAACAAACAATTTAGAAGAGTGCCGTCAAGTCGTCAGGCCGGCCGCCGCCATTACGCGTCGTCCAGCAGTCACGTTCCTTGGATTCTGCAGCCTGCAAGAAGCCAGCGACGGGTTGGCAGGTACTTCTATTTCACATTACCTAGTTTCGGCTTTTTTTTTCACCTTTCGGCGATACTCGGCCCCGCAGAAACTTTCAAAAATGTAGAACCAGCGCAGCGCTAGCCTTGGTGAAAATTTTTAAAGATTTAGCTTTTTCCCACTACTGAGTCTACATATAAATTTTATTTTCCCAGCCATAACCATAAGTTTTGCTACAGTTCCATTCTATTTATTTTTTATAATTTTTATTCAGTTTTTTATTTACGGAATATAAAAAGTTAACCTATAAAAATTTAGAGGTAATTCTGAGGTTTGATGCACTTTATGTATCCGTCAATTTATTAATATATCAGAGGGAGTCGGTATATATTTTCTTCTTTATTTCGCCTGAAAATCGTGTTTTATGCAATTAACACCACAGTTGAAACAATAGGAGTTTTATTGTTGTAGCGGCATAAACTGTTCAAGTTATACACATTATATTTTTTTGTCCGTTTAAATTTTCGGCGGTAAAAAGGTCCTGTTTCACAGACTATCTTCTTTTTTCCACCACGAGAGGTCCGTTCCGGCTTACGCATCATAAAAAGGTGCGTTCTTAAACGCCACATATGTATTACGAGAACATACCATAGAAAGTGTGGCATATAATTTTTTGGTTATTGTTCTTGAGGCCATAGCTTTTCTTATTCTATATTACAAGAAAATAACATAAACCGCTCAGGCCAAAGATATTATAATATATTTATTACAATTCTGTAACACCTTTTATGAAGTATCAGTTTCATTTACGTTATAAACTAATTTGATCAAAATTAAATGCAAAATACATTATTTAGGAATGATGTTAAAAGCAAGGCTATTAAATCCACCATTTTTGATAAAGCACTGAAATAGAAACGGTAATGACTTGATAAGGTCAGTTGTAAGTTGGATATTGTATTTCTCTTCGTTTGTTATTAGAATATCTTTTTTATTAGCTTGGATGTGAATTATTCGTATCAGTTGTTAATTAGTGTTTGTGGCCTTTTTAAAATATTAATTTACAAATATGTAGTACTTAGTTATTAAAAGTGCTGTTCTGGTTAGACTTTCTGAAAAATACTACCGTAATTAATTTTTAGTATATTGTATTTTCTTCGGTTTTCGTGAGTCGTAGATGCAATTTAAACAATTTTTACGTCTTAGCATCGCATTTTTAATTGTCATTGTGTTAATTCAGATGCCTCGTGAAATTTGGTAAGAAGTTTTTGAGCCTTATTACCTAGTAATATGGTTTCATATTTGGCATATTCATTGTTTGAAATGAGTTGTAC